TTAGCTTAATCACAGTGGCTTCTTTTCACACTTTCCTTGAGTATGAATTATATTTGCTATACTTTGCACTGATGTAAATTGCAATTAAACATGGTAGTAGAAAAAACCCCACTACCTATATGAACTCGGCACATAGAAAGCTGTAATGAAATAAAAAGGTTGAAAACATGTCATTGAAAATATGTTGACTATAAAATTCTTCTTGCAAGAATGTGAGCTCTTTAATATGTATTAGTAGCAACAATGTCATATATAAACACTGCATCATGCAGTATTAATAAGTCCATTGAGAGGAAGTTTAGCACTGTCTAAAAATATGCAGTAATCTCTTTCAAGTAGACATTTACTACAGAGTTCAAATGAGCCTATATACATTTTCTCAATACACACTGTACATACGCTTCTATGGCAGCAAAAGGATCACACAGTTTCAGATCATTAGGGACAGTATTGTGTAAGGTTCACTTTATATTATCCTCCCTAGTAATCCTGCCTAGAAACTGATATCCTGAATCAGTAATTCCAAGATGTTTGTCATCGCTTCAATATAAGTAGTATTACAAAATACGTTTATGCTAAGCCAAATATTTATGTTTTTTAATGTAAGGAGCATTGGAATGAAGTTCCAAGCCAAACAATGTATTCAAATGTATGAGATTTCATGTGCAGCTGAGGCTGAATGAAAAACAATGCACTGTATCCTTGTAGCTGATACTGTAAACCCCTTGAAATGGGGAAACTGTAACCTTAGGTTTGTTTGTAACCTGTATATATAGTAATATAGAGGGAAATAATCTTTCATTTAGCATGTGTGTGACTTTATCAAAACCCAGGGCAAAGCCTATAAATGCAAGTGAACACTGCTCCATTGAAAATTCACCAAAGATAACTGTTAAGATATTTATCATTATCTCAGGCATGTCCAGCTTAACAGAATGTCACTCTTTTATTTGTAAAAAAAGCAGGGAATCACCAGCACCCAGTAATGAAAGCAAATTTGTTTGATATCTTTACTTGGTGACAGGATACAAAGTGCAATGTTGTGTAATAATTTACACCTGCCAATCCAATCTCAACTTAAAGGAGAACTATGGGGTTAGGGCTTTTCCCCATAGTTCTCCTTAGGGTAACGGGAGGACACAAACTAGCGTCCTCCCGTCACCCTAAGCTCAGTATACAGCGAGCTACAGCTTACGGTATACTGAGACACCGCAGCTGAAGCGAATCCTGACAATTATGCCTGGATCCGCCCAGCTGCGTGAGTGACAGCTTGCTCTGCCTATCTAGAGGCAGAGCCAGCTGTACCCTCCCCCGTCCGTTCCGCCAGTCAGCGCTGGAGGATCGGAGCGGGGTGGTGCGAATCCAGCCCCTCCCCTGTCACTGCAGAGAGTCGTGATAGGATCGAGAAGTGAGCAAACGCCGGTATGTGTTCGCTCACTTACCGATCTACTGAGCCAACCTGTGACAGTCTCATTGTCACAGGTCGGCTAGAACTATGAGGTGAGTTAGAGGCACTCACCTCATAGTTCTCCTTTAATTGGTTTGATTGCAATAAAATGTAAATGCTGTCTATAATTGGTGTATTTGCTATGCTGTCTCATGAAGCAAACTTGAATTGCTTCAGTACTGTGGGTTCACATGCTTCAGCTTCCCATAGAATGTACAGAATTAAATCTGCAATTATTTTTGCTTTCATTGAAAATATAACATATATTACGTTTTTACTGACAAGCTGTTATAATAGACTGGACAATGGCATAGCATATACTAATTAGGCATAACAGAGACATTCAACTGGACCTATTGAGTTGCATATAGAATTCTGAAATGGCCACATTCAATGGCTCGCCCCACATTACAGCACAAAGCTCCTTCAATAGATTTCCCACCAAATCAGAAGCTTGTCTTAATATAGTTTTAATTTGATATTAATCTGAATTAGCACAGCATTATTGTGAACATCATAGTAAGTAAGGAAAATTACATGATGCTATCACGGAATAATGACCCGTGAAAAATGTAGCAATAGAATAGAAATTGAGAATGATTAGCGTAAATAAAATACAAATGATATGCTAATGAACTCTATTCAAAGTATCTGTGCAGGAACGTGATTATGCTTCAGCAGTATTTGTGCAGCAGTAGCTTGGAAAGAGTCTTAAAAGAGAAATAAAGAGTCAGTCTTATGGTTAATTTTTTTATAATATCAAATAAACTTCATTACACATTAACATGAGTGCTTTTTTAAAGTAAATTTATATTTTACCTTGTATGTTCTCGCAAAGTTCCACTGGGAATAGCTTACTGGCTAGCACAAATTCCATATTAAGATAGATTGTGGACTGTAAGATTAGCTGTTTAATTATTTTGTCAGCAGGCATATGTCCAATAGAGCTGCCTACATCTTTGAAATGAGGGACTTGTCTATGTTGGTGGCATTGATAGGTTTAAAATGCAAGTTTAACATTTAAAAATGTTTAAAAAACTGGAACAAACAATAAAGACACAGATAACAATGTGGAACACAATAAAAAATAGGATATTGTGTATCAAAATGTTAATATTTGTGAATATTGCCTTTTTACAAATTTCAACTTTGCAGGACAGGTTTGAATCTATTTGGACAATAAAGACAATTCTTACAGTAGAATTAAACCGTACTTTTTTTGCATATATCTATTGCTAGGAAGCATTAGATATATGCAAAAGCATAAAAAAAAGTCACGAAAAAGGTTATTACTTACCAGTGTCTCCGACACCTGCTTCTGACAGAAGATCGGACAAATTCTCGAGCGGCCGTGAAGGATCCTGGGGCGGGCGTATGTGCAGTTGAGATCTTTGGCTGGGAGAAGAGGAGAAACACAGGGTAAGTCCATGCAAGCAGCCCGGCAGCGTGCATGCATACAGACACCGTGGGACAGGAAGACACAGCAGTCAGCGCTGGATCAGAGACTGGCACCAGCGCTGGTGGCCT